AGTGACATTTAATTTGTATTTTCTAAAGATTACTTTTTATGCAGTGTGGATAATGGATTGGAGGTAAACAAAAATGGATGGGGAGAACAGTTAGAAGGATGTTATAATCTAAGTGGTAACTTATGGTTGATGGTTGTAACCTCTTAAGAGAAATCATAGACACATTCTTAGCCATAGCTCTTCAGGATCTTATCCCTCCCAGCTATTCAACCTTGCTGTTCCCCAAATCTGGCAAGCTTGTTCCTTGTTCAAGGTCTTTCCCTGTTCTCTGTAACCTGAGCCTTTCATCTCAGGCCTGCAGAGTTCAATGTTTAACTGCACTCAAGTCTCTGCACAGAGAGGTCTTTTCTGTCCATTTTGTTGAGAAATGACCCCCTGCTCTTTTCATTATTTTCTGTTCTCCTTACTCTGCTTTTCCTTTGTAGTTTTTTAAAAAATTGCAACTTGAAATTATACATTTATTTATAGCATGTTTTCTGCTGCTAAAATATAAGATCCATAGGGGCTGGTCTTTTCTAAACTTGTAACCTCCCTTCCCCCCGTACCTAGTACATAGTGGGTGCTTAATAAACATTTGTTGAATAGATGAGTGAATTGATTGAAGTTGGGATAATGGAATTCATTCTTCCCTTTTCAGCTGTATCTCAAACATCTCTCTGGCTATGAACTTTTTTCAGAGCTTGAGGTTAATGCCCAAACCCTGTCTTGCTGTCATCTCAAACTCAGTATATATAAAATTACATTATTTTCCTTCCTTCAGTCTTTTACTTTTGTTAATGCTGCCATCACTGACAGTCCTCAGGCACAAAACCTTGGTGTTATCTTGCAGTGTTCACTACCTCCGACCTCTAGGGTGCTGTATATTCCCATTTATGTCTTTGGGGAAGTTTTCTGGTTACTGTTTGATCTCTGCTTTTTGCCTATTGACATTTTAGCCAGCCCTCAGGGCCCCGCTTCAATCCTTCTCTTAGGTCTGTAGTTTGTTTTGTTTTGTTTTTGAGACAGGGTCTTACTCTGCTACCCAGACGGTAATGCAGTGGCATGATCACGGCTCAGTGCTGTCTTGACCTTGACCTTGTGGGCTCAAGCCATCCTCCCACCTCAGCCTCCTGGGTAGCTGGGACTACTGTTACGTGTCCCCACACCTGGCTAATTTTTAAAATTTTTTTATAGAGACGGGGGTCTCGCCATATTGTCCAGGCTGGTCTCGAACTTGTGGCCTCAAGCAATCCTCCTGCTTCGGCCTCCCAAAGTGCTGGGATTACAGGCATGAGCCACCATGCCTGTTGTAGTTACTTTTTATTTAATTAAAAACAAAAAAAACCCCATACAGTCTCCTGATCTGTTAGTTCCTCTCCCATGTCCTAATATTTTGAACATAGTATTCAGTTGCCTTTCTTTTTTTTTTTTTGAGACAGGGTCTCACTCTGTCACTTAGCCTAAAGTACAGTACCACAATCTTGGCTCACTGCAACATCCACCTCCCGGGAGCGATTCTCCTGCCTCAGCCTTCCGCGTAGCTGAGACTACAGGTGCATGCCATCACACCCGGCTAAGTTTTATATTTTTAGTAGAGATGGGGTTTCACCATGTTGGTCAGGGTGGTCTCGAACTCCTGGCCTTAAGCGACCCGCCTGCCTCAGCCTCCCAAAGTGCTGGGATTGCAGGCATGAGCCACCACACTCAGCCTATTTCCTTCTTTATTATCCCATTTTTAACTTCACCACCGTATGTGTCCTATCTTTAGCTCTGTCCTAGAGACCTAATGCTTGCCACTTGGTTGTGCAGCAGAAGACAGCTGGCAGCAACAATGCCATCCGCATGGTTTTCTTCCTATCTTTGATGTTGATTCAGGCTGGATTCTCTTGAGCCGGTGGAGGCTCCTGAAGTTTTAGAAGGTGAGAAGTCACAAGGTCTCACCTGCTGCATCACGCTGGAAGTGTGTGGAGGCAGTGGAGTCTGAGCTGATGATGCTAGTATTTACTTAGCAATTCTCTATACCTACCTAGCAGTGATTCAGGTTGTAAAGAGAAATTTGATTGGTTAAATTATTTTAACCAATGTTTGAATGCCTATTTTACTGTGATGAACGTAGATGTACAAAATGTTTTGCTCATTAGGAGTCTCCAAAATCTAGCAGGTATGTCAGTTATGTAACATTCTTTTAAGTAAATAAAATATGGTAAATGCTGAGTTAGAAGTAGGTGCAAGCTGTTGTTGAAGGCATCATATGACTCATTGAAGGGCTTATCAGGGGAGGCTTATTTCATAAGGGATGTAATGGGCCACATCTTGACAGATAAATGGAAATTTACAAGTGGACAGGGGCTTTAAGATCCTTGTATAGGTAATTCATGAAAACACAATGGAATCAATCTGGGCCCAAATGTAGCTCCAGTAAAGGGTGATACCAGCAGGGGTAGAGCTTTAGTTCCTTGATATCATGGCTTAAGGTAGCCAAGAAGTTCTGATTCAACAGTGCCCTCAAGTAGCATGCTGTACAGATAGCCTCGCATAGCGATTAAGAGTGGGCTCTGCAATTAGGCTGCCCAGATTCAGATTTCATCTCTGTGCCTTACTAGCTTTGGGACTCTGGACAAGTTACTTAACCTCTCTGGACCTTGACATTGTGTCTACTTCATATAAATGAAAATTAAATGAAATAAAATACATAAAGTGCTTATCAACAGGATCTGACACTCAGAGTGTTCAATAAAGGTTTGCTATTTTTATTTTTAACTGTTTACATCAGCCTAGAGCAGGGGTTGGGAAACTACATCATGTGGGCCAGGACCAAATCTGGCCTGCAGTTAGATTTACAAATAAAGTTTTATTGGAACCAAACCATGCCCATTAATTCAGTATTGACTATGGCTGCTTTGTGTGTGCTGCAAGAGCTGGGTTTAGTAGTTGTGACAGTGACCAAATAGCCTGTAAAGTCTGAAGTATTTACCATGTGGCTCTTTGTAGAAGAAGTGTAACTTTTTGAAGAAACTTACCATTTACTATATGGTCCTTTGTAGGAGAAATTTAGAGGATAAAATCAAACTCTTTATCTCTCAAGATCTTCAGTGATTGCTTCCAAACCAGCCTTTTTTCTATCCATAACTAACAGATGGCAACAGCAGCTTTGGTTTTCACTGGCCCTTCTATTCCTTTCATAGCTGCTGCTGGATTGTGCTTCCTTTAGTGTCCCAACTACTCTTCTATCTTTTGCATGAATGTGGGCAGAGGCAGGGCCAGGACTAGGGTAGGATGTATGAGGCACTCACTCTAGGTACACAATTTAAGGGGGCCCCAAAAAACTTGATAATCAAGATAATTTGTTAATGTTTTTAAAAATAAAAATTAATGCAAAAAACCCATGATGAACAAAGTATTGATATTTTACTTTTTTATTCCTTTTTTGGAAGCTTAATATAATTTTGTTAAACTTTTTTCCAGGTTTAGTATGATAGGCAAATAAAAATTTGTAGGCCGGGCACGGTGGCTGTAATCCCAGCACTTTGGGAGGCTGAGGTGGTAGGACTGCTTGAGCCTACAAGTTTGAGACCAGCCTGGGGAACATGGTGAGACTCTGTCTCTACAAAAAATAAGAAAAAAATTAGCTGAGTGTGGTGGCACGCAAGTGTGACTCCAGCTACTTAGGAAGCTGAGGTGGGAGGACCGCTTGAACCCAGGAGGTCATAGCTGCAGTGAGCTGAGATTGTGCCACTGCACTCTCCAGCCTGGGCGACTGCACAAGACCCTGTTTTAGGGGGGGAAAAAAAAGAAATCTAAGTTGTACAGCTTAGTGTTTTGATCTAAATATATCTTGAGTAATGATTCCTACAGTCAAGCTAATTAACATATCCATCACTTGAATAGTTACCATTTCCTTGTTCTCACGATAAGAACATTGGAGATCTACTCTCTTAGCAAATTTCAAGTATTCAGTAATACATTATTATTTATAATAGTTACCATGATGTACATTGAATCTCTAGAAATTATTCATCTTATGACTAAAAGTTTGTATCCTTTGACCAACATATCTCCATTTCCCCCACCCCCAGCCCCTGGCAAACACTATTCTACTGTATGTTTCTCTTAAGTTTGACTTTTTTAGATTCCATATATAAGTGACGGGATCAGTATTACTGATTTTTTTTTCCTCAGCCTCCAACATGGCTCAACATAGTACTGGGCAGCAGAGAGAAAGTAACCCACATTTTAGTGGCTTAAGCCCACATACTCATACTTCCTACATATATGTGGGAGAGAGTAATAAGATTCAAAGTAACCTGCTGGCTGATCACCAATGTGATATACCAATGGCATATACGCAGGTCCTTGTCAGGACTAATTTCATAAAGTATAATTACGCACATATTTTGTTGAACTTAGTTTACAGGAGTGATCTGTGTATAATCTGTTGTATAAAATGAAGGAATGAAAACATTTCCAAAAGTTTTCAAATGGTTCATTTGAAATGGTTCACTGAGAGCAGTGAAGCATACATTAGAATAACAGCATTGGATAACTAAAACTGTTTACCAAGAGATCTGGAAGGATCACCTGGTTCCTGCAAGCTTTTTCTAGGAAAGGCCAGATAGGGATATTAATTGAATTTTAATGCTTTCCAATAAACATTGACCCAGCAAGCTTTTTTAGATGACTAACTTTCTAATCTGCTTTGACATTTCTTCGTGGGGCTGCAAACAGTGATTTGTTGGTAGGTTTTAAAATATGTATAATTTGTTTCAGTGAAGAAGGTTTGAAAGTATACTGTAGAATTCTATGAAAGCAGAATGGAGTCTTATCTGTAAGGAATAAGTCTGGAGGAATGGACAAGATCAACTTCTCATTTCTCGGACACCTTGTTGAGATGGAGAGGAATTATTTGATGTTTTGACATAGTAAATTAGTTGTTCTGCCTCTCACTGTTATATAACAAGAGATAAAATGCAACGTTGAACTTGATGGTCTTTTGCTTTCTAAATGCTTTTCATTGTTTTTAGGTGTATAGTGTTGATTGGAGCCAAACCAGAGGTGAACAGCTTGTGGTGTCTGGCTCATGGGATCAAACTGTCAAATTGGTATGATAGCATTATTGTATTCGAAAACAAATATTCCCCTCTCTAGAGCTTCTGCTAAATTTTCTTTTCTTTTCCAAACATACTTCTGTAGCTTTATGATTGGATAGCTGAGTTTTCTTAAAAAAATAAATAAATAAAACATTTATTAGAACTTAAAATTTTCTAATCTTTTGGCTGTGAACTAATAGCTCAGCATTAGTTTGGCACTTAAATACCATCCTGCTTTATATCAAAATAGATCTTTAAAAATCCTTGAGATCTGTATATATATTGTATGTGTATATATAAATGTATATAGTTTATTGGTATGTATAGTATATGTAAAAGCATAAATTTGAATTTATCCCTCTTGAGTAATTGATCTATTCATTTATTTTTAGTGGGATCCAACTGTTGGAAAGTCTCTGTGCACCTTTAGAGGCCATGAAAGTATTATTTATAGCACAATCTGGTCTCCCCACATCCCTGGTTGTTTTGCTTCAGCCTCAGGTAAGTAATTCCGTATTTACCAAAAGCCTTATTTGTAGTGAATGGTGGCCTTGTTTTTACCATTAGGTGGCGCTGTGTACCTTAGATTCAAAGAGAAAACAGAAGACTATTACTATTCTTTTGTGCTCTTAAGACTTTACTTGTTTTTTTTAATTTTTATTTTTTATTTTTATTATTATACTTTAAGTTCTAGGGTACATGTGCACAACATGCAGGTTTGTTACATATGTATACATGTGCCATGTTGGTGTGCTGCACCCATTAACTGGTCATTTACATTAGGTATATCTCCTAAATTTTGGGCGCTGAGCGATGGCGGTGTTTTCTAAATTTATTACAATCATGTCAATCTGGCAACAGGCGACAAATTTGCAGCTTCCCTCTTTTCCCTAATTGAATTTTTTTTAATAACGATAAACCTTGATTTCTTATCTCCTGCTCTGGAATTTGCCGCTGGGCAGAAACTCTTTCCAACACGTGGGTGGGTTGAAATAGTGAGTGGTGAAGAGGCCGCATCCGTGCTCTATGCTGCTAGTTTTCAAAAAGGGAATTGGCTTCAGTTTTTTTTGCCCCGATTCTGAGTGCATGATAGCTTTGGCTGGATGCGGTTTTTCGATAAGTAGCCTCTCCTG